AGGAATTGTAAAGCAAAGCGTGGACCACTTTATTTTATTTTTCACAAACAAATTTATGTTGCAAACAAACTAGACCTTGAAGTTATAGGGCGGTTTTTATTTAGATTTGTTCATGGGCCGGGTTTTGGACTTGATTTACACTATATCGGGTACGGACTTCAGGTCAGACTCCACTTAAAATTTGGCAAAAATCAAAACTGAGCCCTATCTATGAATAGGTCTAATTTATCCACTAAACATCATCATCATCATCATCATCCTCCAAGCCTTTATCCCAACTATATAGGGTCGGCATCATGAAACCTTTTCTCATGATTAATTACTTAACCCATTTTGTCTTAGCTATCTTTCTCTTGATCTCTAATGCAAAAGAAGAGGAACTTGTGTTAATAATTAGTTCTTTCATGGGGTACTTACCAATGGACCTAATTATGAAAAAGAAATAAAATTTTCTGGTAAAAAAGAACTTAAATTTAATAACACCATATCCATCTAATATCCTTCAAATGGGAGGTAAGGATATATATTCTCACACTTACATCTGCAAATCTTAACAAGCATCATCAACACTCTGTGGCGAATCAGAACCTAATTTAGTCCGACACATGGAGCATTGGTAGGGTGAAGGAATCAAATTTGTTTCGTATCATATCCCACTAGGTCTGGGTGGATGTATACTGTTCAGGGTTCACTATGGTCTTGATAAAAGCCATCGTATGTTGCTCAAAAGTGGAGTTTTAATTGATTGTGCTATTAACCTATCCTGCCTATTGTAATCTATTCAATGGTGAGAACTCATTTATATTCAAACCCTAGATTAAACAACTGAACAACACTCATCATCAATCATCATTATTTAATCCTTATTTTAGGATTCCATTTCACCCCTACTTCTGGCAAAACCCGAGTCACTTTACCATGTAACAAATCAAATTAAACAAAAAGTAATCATGATGGCACATTATTATCAGTATATGTGAATAAATTCAGGCGTCTTTGCTTAGTCATTGATGTAACTGCTCTCATGTATCGAATGATTCGGGCGTTGAATCGGATGCTTGTTCTGTTAGTAGCCAAGTTGAGTTGGGTCGAATTAGATTTGGCCGAGTTATATAATTCTGCAAGTGAAGGAGTTAGAGTGCCTAGATTATTTTTATCTAGAGTGCGCACTCCGATGCTTAAGTCAGTGAAGAGTTTTTAGGAATTCTTAAGAGATAAGAGAGTGCAAGAGCTTAATCATATTGTGTATCTCTTTCAATGAAAATGAATCCTTTATATAGGCAGGGGCGATCAGGGACCTCATGTAACGGGTCTCAGGTTCTTGCAGAGCTGTTTTCGCTAAATTGGGAGAGTTATGGTGTCGATTACATAATTTGTGTAGGGTGCCAGGTTTGTCTGATTTGCTCTAATGCACGTGATGTGGATAGGCCAACCAAACGATCGACTCATTAATACTTCGGAGATCTTCGACTGGCAATGGACCTTTGTGACAAGTCAGGGAGCATGCCTTATAGGTCGCTAATAGTACTTACCATAGCTCGGTCGTTCTCCGAGGTAGGTCGCTCCTAGCYTGGAGCCTTTTTAGGTCAGATAGGACGAGGTAATTTAAGTCGACCTAGGCGAACTGCTACCAGCTGACTTGCTGAGGTGATCTGCTTACTCAGCGTTGATGTGTCACTTGAAAGACACGTGTCGTGATGTTATTCAATAGACCAAATTACCCTTCATCAATCATGTTATCACCAAAGTTTTTAAAACCGAACTAATCAGGGGTCCAATTCTCGAGTGAAATGGTCCAACTGTTCGAACCAAACGGATGGCCCGTTCTAACAAAAAAATAAAAAACAGCCAAACCGTTGGACGGTTCGAACAGTTTGAATGGTTCAACCGCCTAGGTCAACAGTTTGCTGACCAAATCAACGAYTTTTGGTAAAATAATGGTTTTGGGGTAAAACGGAACCAATCACCTGACCGGTTCCTTGTTTTTTGGTCCGACCATCTGGTCCGGTCCGGTTTTGAAAATAATGGATATCACCATTCACCGATAACCCTTGGAAGTAAGAACATTCACTTGTCTCGGTTGAAAATCATAGATGACTTCTTGAAGCATCATGGATACGCCTTCAGCCAGGCTGATCAATCCAACAGCAATGGCCACCTTCTCACTGTGCAATTGTGCATACAAAAATCATAGCCGTGCTCTTCTTCCTCCATATCAAAGAGCACAGAGCATTGAGAGTACCCTACTGCATGGGCATTTCATCGAAAAGTTTCTTTGCCAAATCGACCTCACCCCACCCGACCTTGCACAAGCACGCTCTCCATCGCCATCTGAGATACCCAATCCCGATAACCGCCGAGATGAACCAGGGAACCCAAATTTGGCTCGCATTGCATGTTGATCAACCCCACTCAGAACATGCGCGTTCAAATTGAAACCACGCTTTACGTGAATTCCTGGGCCAGTGTCAGATGAAGAGACGAAAGTGAAAGTGTAGTCATCGGGGACATTGAATTGCAGATTTGGTGTATTCAATAGAGCTCGCTCCTGGAGTGAATTGAAATCTCCTCACAGAGCGTGCCTCACTCCTACCTCACAGCCACATCTATCCCTGAATTGGGAACATCTCCCATGCTGTGAGGTGCGCTTTATGAGGATCAGATCCGGATTCTCTTGGAGTGGGATTTGATCTTAGAAGCAGGGCAAAAATATCATATGGATGTGGATTTTTCTGATTTTTGTTGCATAAAGTTTTTAAATATATATTTAATGATACAAGAAAATGAAGTAAAAATAAAAGCAAAAAACAAAAAAAAACACGCATAAATTTATTTGGCGTAGGAGCAGAAATCTATTATAAAATCAACAGTGGAAATTACAGAATTGTATACAATATTTCATACATAAACCCTAGGGATGGCAATTTCTACCCTACCTGGCAGGTACTCGCCCCAATGAGAGGGTTTTTACCTTTAAAAAAATGGATTTGGGGGAAGGACAAGTTTCGAGTTTTCACAGCCTATACGGGTATGAATAGGGCAGACCCTCCTTGACCTGCATATTGTTGGAAGGCATATGTACTAATGTACTACGTAATGAATCCAATAATATTTTGAATTTTAGGTGAATGATAATTGATAGTTTATGTGTCTTGTATGTTTAATCAAATAATTAGAAATTTTGGTGTTTATTTATGCTATTTTACTTACTTATTACTTTATATATATAATAGGAAATTAGATGTGGGTTCTAAACACAACTTGCCAATACAACCAACCTCACCCTCAAATGCATCGAGGGTAGGGTCGGAGAGGTTTTGAATTTTGAAAATCCAACCTACTATAGGTTTTAATAAGGGTACKGGTTGGGAGGTCTAGGGAGGTGGTTGGAGTCTAGAATACATAAAACTCTCCTCAAATCYACCCTGTTGTCATTCCCCAAAACACCCAATTTGTCTGACAAGTCAAACAGATGTAAGAGAAAACCCTCAAACCACGTAACTCTTTATATTCGGATTGGACCCACAAGCTAGATATTTTTTGGGCTGCTAGGTCCAAACCTTTACGCTCCCACCACAAATCACTATAAAATTGTACCTTCGGGTTTTTTCTCAACTTAATTAGGAATGGGTCATGAAACAGATCACAATAAAGAATTCAAGGCATGAATAAAACATAACAATCTCTTTGAGACTGATGCACGACCCCACCAGGGTTATTCTGGGGTTTAGGGGTCTTGCGGGGAATCCCAAATTGGTTGGCTTTCCTGTGTACAATTGTTCTTCTTGCCTTTCTTCAAGAAGCACGGTTCGAAAAAATATTCTTGTACTTGTAAAATTTTTGAGAACTTATGGATTCTAATCCAACAGAACACAAGAAAACCTCAAGCAATTTTATCAATCCAAGGGCGCAGATACAGTTTCTGTCAAATTTCCATATTGGTCAATTTCTCTCTGTTAAACAAACCAGAAAAGAAGGTGATCATACAAGCTGAACATGTAGAAAATGGTATACAAATCTGTCCTACTGATAACGATGGTTAACTTAATGTGACTTCACCTTTTCCTCTGGAAGAACCAGAACTAAATCATCATGAACCAAGCCAAACACTTGCCACAGACAACTCAGTACAGATTACTGCTTAAACACTTCAAAACACAATTGGGTCAGGCGCTCGGGCTGCATTTTGGTTAGGACTAAGGAGGTGAAGGAGACGGTATTATCCCCCTATCTCCTCCGAATGTCCTCCAAATCCTTGTGGAAATGCCACTCATAGTATATAGACATCAAATCTGTGCATGGCATACCAGATTACCAGCAGTCATTGCCCATGGGGAGTAGTGCTGGAAGAAAAGTGCTCTTTACTTCTCGTTGAACCTCGTTCCCGCAACCACAGATAGCAGGCGCATTGGTAGGAGCATCTGTTCAAAATCTGTAACCTTGAGAGCTGATTCGCCAATTAAATTGGTAGGAAGGCCAAATAAAATATGCCAGAAGTGATGCGCCTCACGAGCCCACATGGCATCATAAGCCATCTCCTCTGTATCTATGAAGGAGAAAACTTTGGCTGTTGGGGGTTGTTGAGAGAGTTTCTGGGGTGGACACGTCACCATGAGAGTGGGTAAATTAGTAATTGCCTCCTATTTTATTTTGATCAAAAAGAAAGATAAGGGCGTGAATAGGTGAACGTGTCCACTCCAAAAACGCTCTCAACAGCATAGGCTGCATCAGATGTGTTTTCTGGTAGGTCCCATGTATACCCTACGTTGGCAGATATGACACGTGGACGCTCCAAGAGGACTGCCTGCCAAAAAAAGGCGTAAATTTTGATTGTAATGCAGGGTTGCATGGATCCCTTCAATGGGAATTAGATTCTGACACATGTCCAAGAGTCTGACTTGACAATAAAATGTAGACTCATGGACGTGTATAAAGAAAAACATATATTAATAAAATAGTCCATATTTTTTAAATTCCAACCTTATATACCTACAAAAAGAGGGGCTTAGAATGGTGCCTTTTCTGCCAAGTAACATTTGATACAAAAATTAACATTCATCTTGTACATTAGCCGTTCATTTATGTCAAATAATCCAAGATATGAAACAGAAATGTTACATAGAAGTATTCTTCAAGAACCCATCCATTGCATGTCCAAAATGGACACATTGTCCATTTAGGAGAGTCCCTTAAACACTGTTGCATTACACATGATCATAGTCCATAGAACAAAACTTACCCATATGGCCAGCAAGAACCAACAAGATTCAAAGAGAAAAGTGTTCCACCATTCTCTATGGCTCAGGTGCTAATGGTGGGGATGTCACTAACTGCGGTAATCCAACATCCACTTTGATTAAGTAGAAAGGCTCTCGTTTGGAATGAACAAAGTCATGATAAGTAGAAAGCCTCCAACTTCTAGAACTAAGAAAACATTAAAAGCTTTCCAAATATAAGTGCACAAGAACTTAAATAAGCACCCTAAACAACTAAGAATCAATATGTTGAAGGGATTAGCAGGCTCACAGATAAAGTCTCCTGCTAGTTGTAGAAGATACCTGGGGCCAAATCCCACTTCAATCATGGCTGCGGGGGCTTTGGGGCTCCAGTAGATTTGCCTTGCCAAAAATAAAATGAAATCAGAATCAAGAAGTCTTTAGAAAATAAAATAAAATGGTAACCAAGTCGAATATATTATAGCTATACATGTAAATCTTCCATACATTGTATAGTCAAGTCAGAAAGCCCTTACAATAAGATCAGACTAGATCCATACAGTTATATATGGACCTAGAAATGATATAAGCATCCATAATTTAACAATGGATATGGCACTGAACAGAACAGAATGGCAAAACAGGTTTTGCGTTGCTGACCCCACATAGTTGGGACAAGGCCTAGACAATGATGATGATGTTGATGGTCTTCTATGCACATGACAATGCCATCTTAGTCTATTTCTCTGATTTTATCACCTATTGGAGCAACTCTATATAAAACATAACTGACTTGGTTGTGGTCCTTGAGGTAATGATGAGCTTTTCCCAAGACATTTCTTGATTTCTTCAGCTGGCAATTTCTCAGAGTCAAGGTTCAAAATTCCATCATGTATCAGGGCATACCATATCATATTGGCCCTGCCCTGATACACTAAATATTAAGTCTTCTTTCCAAGATGAAGCTTGCATCTTGTCATGAGAAAGCTCAAGAGAGTAGTGAAAAAACTTAACATCAGATCATTTAGGAACCCACCCATCTAGAATGCATTTTGCAGTATGCATCATCATACTTCAATACAAAATTTATAAAACATATCTTCAAGTCCACATGGGGATAACCTCCTATAAAAGAAGTTATCTATCAGCGTCATCATGTCATGCTATAGAAATAGAACTGATGGCACTGCTGTAGGCAAGCCCGGCATTAAAAGAAAAAAAGATTCCAAGTGGAAAGTTGTTCTCAAACATGGTGAAATAGATTAATTAGATTCTTAAACTGAAGAGCCTAATGTGTCTTTAAGGTTTAAATGTGCCTTCTCAAAAATTCACCGCTATGAAAAACTATTCTGCTTCTTCTCTTTTCCAAGGTTCTGCAATACAAGTTTCCCTTCATCTGAACTTAATTCTCAATGGCAGAAATTATCTTCTATACAGACATTTATTTGCCTTAACTATAATGACTTTTCAAATTCTCTTGAAAATAGTTCGACATGATAAGAGAGAAAAAACAATGCTAAAAACCAAATAGCTGTCATAAAAAAAAAAGAGTTCCTCAAGTAAGAGAAAGATAATCCATTTTCCACCACACAACAAAAAGATGAAAAAAAATCAAAATTACCATGTCCAATGTAGTACTTATTTAAATCTCCTAGAACCAAACAGCTAATACAAATACAGCTACGAAACTCCTAGTTTAAAAGTATTGTTTTATTGTTAATTCCCTTTGAATGCCTAATTACAAGCTTGAAYTCCCAAGTTTATGTCATCACTCATCAACTTGCAAACATTATATGGATCCTTGTATAGTGATGTTTAAGAAACCAACTTGCAGTTCTTTTCCAAAGAATTATGTAATATATTTATCTTAGGCTGAATTGGAATTCCCCGACAAACATTTTTCCATGTAAAATAATTATAAAGAGAAAATTGTACTTCTAAGATTTTCTAATACTTAAGTACTAGATAAAAACAAGCTTGATAATCTGGACCATACGCTGGATTACTAGATTTTAGGCTTGCACAGAGAAGAGAGAGTTCCATGAAACTAAACATTTCTCATGTTTAACTTCTTTAAAGAGATTGTTTACCGACCAGGATTCTGAAAAGTAAAACCCACAATCTCATTGGAGACTCCAAGTAAAGTTGACTTGCCTTCTAAAGGGGACAAGTCATTTTGAGCAGCTCTTACTCAGGATTTGAATAAAATTTTACTGACAACCAAAAAAATACTAACAAAATTATATTTGTCAAAATAACAACTTTTCACAATATTTTACGTCCAAACAAACAGTCTTATCTGCTACTCTAGAAAACTAGTGTATCAATATCTTGTAAGAAGGTAAGGTTTTTATAATCTCTGAATCATCAAGGATGGTCTGATTAATTCTAAGTTTCATTATATTCCTTATGAAACAGTTAACAGAAATTATTGACAACTTTGATGTTTCTAAGTAAGCCAATCATTTCTAATTAAAGGTCTTGCTCATAACTTGAATAGATTTCACTGTAGAACTATCTGTTTTCTCAATTATTATTCTATCAAGCACAAAAGCCTGTTGAAACCACAGCCAATCCCCTGCTTAAGAATTTTCACAGCAGGAAGTCATAGATAGGAGATGACAGAAAGCAATTAGCTACCAATTCAATTTGTTTTCTCTGAACTGGTCATAAAAACTTCTTTATGCAAAAAAATACCATAGGTTAGGTAGGTATTCATTCCACTCTTCCCAACATCTCAGACAGCAGGTACCAACATACCAACATTTGGTAATGGCCTCTTCTTTCTTTTCTTGCCCGATCAATTTCTTCATGTTCTGATGGATAACCACTTTATTATGAAAGAGCATAATTTACAAGAAGATTATGGATATAACTAACAGCCAAGAAAATAGCAAAACAATCAAGCAAACTAAGTCTACCTTGACATTTATAACAGTAGAAAATAACAGGTTGTCTAATAAAAACAATAGGAAAGAGTTATTCATTTCTCAATTGTTTTCTTGAAAAGAAGAAGCCCATATGAAATAAAGAGACATACTCTGCCTTCAGGACTTTTCTTCTTCCATTCTAGAACTCTCTCAAAAGCTAGCTTTCCAGTTGTTCCCCCAAAGCAGCTATTAGACGTCCTTCTTGGTTCCATTAATGCACCAAATGCTGAAWCAAGAGCAACAGCTGCTTGCTGCTACCTATTAAACCTGATGTGTGCACCTTCTAGCATTGTGTTGATCCTTTAACAATCAAAACTTAATAAACGAGTCATAAAAATGAGGCATTTTTTATCAGTAAAAGAAGGTGTAATTAAGAGTAGACTCCCAGCAAGAAGTTTCATATAAAATTAAGGCTAGGGTAATGCATGTATTATTGCACATGGTACAGCACTTAAAACAGAAACTAACAATATAGAGAATATAATAAATGATGACAATAATAATAACTACAGTAATTGTTAAATACATAATTTAAATCAGTAGAGTTTCATTTACTTCTACAACTAACCTTTCCCTACTGCATTGGTTAATCATTCATCCTAATAACCATGGTCTAACTATTGGCTCCACATAGATATTAAGGCTTTCTAGATCTGCAGTTCCTCATACAAATCTGATTTTCAATCAAATTGGATTCCTTGTTTACATTTTTTTACCAAGAGAAGGTCTCACTCCCAATATCCACAGTAAGCCAAAAGGTAGCATGTTATTGCACAAACAGGAAAAACCATGAATTTACTGAGGTGAGGAGACAAGAAAACCAATGTCGTGACCAAACCAAAGCCTTTTTATCAACTTCAATGATGGGAAGACTACAATATGGAATTTACTCAGGACATTGAGCATAAATATTTTTACATTGGAAAAGGTTCAAAAATTTATCCAGGAAAACTGAGTGGAAAAGAAGGTAAGTCACATTCTGGTAGAATACAACTATTTTTTTCAAAATTTCTGAACAAAAATCATGACATATATAAATATCTCTTGCTAATGACTCTATCAAAAGAAAGCCCTCTTGCCTAAGAATACTTCTTTCAGAAGGGTCCACCAAAATGTGTTAATTCTATTTCTTAGAAAGCTATATGCTTAGTCTAATTCAATACAGGATCTCTTGTACCACTCAAATTCCTATTCATGGATAGGATTAGATGGAAGAACTTAAACATGGTAGGGTAGAAATAATGCCTATTTGACACTTGATACCCAAAACTAGTAAGTGCCAGATCCAAGAAGAAGAATAATTTTGCTGCTTATTTTAAATAACAGGACACGCTTAGGAGGATTGGTCCCACTACCTTCGGGGGGAAAATGGGAAACATTGGATATATTAAGGCAATTGAGATTCATTATCAAGGCCTTAGTTAAATAATTTATCTGAATTATACAACAATTCAACAGAAAAAAAAAAAAAAACTTTTGCTTAAGTGAACAAGAAGACTAAATTTTACATAAATGGGGGCATTTTGAACAAAAATATGAAATGCAGGGTGTCAGTCAAGGCAATCAGCAAAATGAATGAAGTGACTTCAAAGGTGATGCGCACTGACCGGAGGTTATAAAACAGTAATTGAATAGAAGAGAACAATCTGAGATAAATCACTCAAGAGAGAGTTTCAGAGAATCCAACTCTAGGGTCTAGACGGCACGTAAGATCCTTTAGGAAGTAGGAATATTTTTGTGGAAGACACATGAGAAATAAAGAGGGGAAGAGTCAAGATGCCATTATTTTCTGCTTTTCCAGTCGCAGAACACAGAAGGATCACGACACGACAGAGGGGGCGGGGGGGAGAAGGAAGAACCAAATACCTGTTGTATCCAGAAGCGACGCTGACGGCAGGACGTCGATAAACCGTCAATTCGAGCGAGGAGAAAGGAGAGTCTCACACAGTGGGCCACATCAACCAGGATGGGAAAGGGAGGAGAAGACAGGCTCAGTTTTCTCTTCTTTGGGTGGTTGCGGGAGAGGTTGATGCGGCTGAAGGTGGTGGTTACGGAACACTGGCGTGTTCACTTGCGATTGGTTACGTAGAAAGTGATACAGAACCAAGCGAGCAGCAGATCCAGATTCGGTGGAGAGTGGAGACCGAGAGACTGTCGAGTAAAAGTGCAGTTCGGGTCGGGTTAGATCGGCTTGAGATCAATCGTAACCCCAACCGAGTTGTTGAATCCCAACCCAAACCACCCAATCCAATTACTTCTGATTGGATTCAGGAGGTTGGCTTGATTTATTTTGCACTTTTGCAATTTAAAATTGTTCGTATATATACATTCATAGATGTATAGTTTCATATATTATATACAACATGAAACATGAAGACAAGATATGTCAAGTTCGGGTTGGATCCGGTTATCGAAAGCCTCAACTTTAATCCAAATCCAAACTTCAAACAATTAAAACCGATCCAACCTAATCTAATTTAAGGCTTTGTTAACTTACAATTTTTTAATTTATTCAAGTAACTGTATTTATTTAGGTGAATGTTTTTTAGATAAATTTACTTATTCATATTTTTTTATTTTCAGGATTTTTAGATAAGTAACAAAATGATATTTTTACTCATAAAAAGTGAATATTAAATGGACAAAATTGTCTTCTTATGTTTTATAAAATTTCTCCCAAATAAAACTAGTGGGAGATAATAAATTACCCGAGGAAATAAAGTTGATTTTACCATGGAACCCATTACTAAATGCACAAAGAACATTATAATCCCCTCTTATTTATTAATAAACAAGCAGAGCCTAAATTGCACCACATAGGAGCAAGGGAAGGGAGCTGACAGCCTCCCTCTCAAAGGTACTCGAAAGATAAGATGATCATGACTCGGATCTTTTGCATTTTAAATATTTACATCCACCCCAGTTAGTTACTCGGGTTGCATTTTAAATATTTACGCCATTTGAAGAATTTGAACTAACACCAAACGGGGATCGGGACTTGTTCAAAATTTAAAAGTGTTCAACCCAGGTTGACCTAAGTTGCAACCAGGCTCAAACCCAAGAATGTCCATTACATTAGACCAAGGTTGAAAGTATCGATACGACTCTATATTTTTTTAGTTTTTCTTTTCAAAGTTTGATTTTTTTGAAAAGCTAAAAACATATTTTTTTAATTAAAAAGAAAGTTGGGATTCGGAAATGCTTAGAAACAAGCGTTTCAGATCATATCATCTTCAAAAGATACGATACGATACGCCTCAAACACATTGAAAATTTAATGTTATGCTACTATAGTAGACAGTAACATAATTGAATTTTATGTTTCACCCATTGGAGCTGAATGTTGAATTGTCGGATTTTAAGAAATTTCAATCATTGGGCTTGGGTTAGGTTTGGGCCCATTGATAATTTATCAAATTCCCATCCCAACCTCACATATGTTGCATTCTTGGTATTTATAGATACACGTAGGGTAAGCATGGGTTGGTTTCAAGGTTTTTAAAATCGATTCGGACAACAAGCTGGTGAGGGGTCCAATTCCCGGGTTGAATGGTCTGACTGTTTGAACCAAGGGAATGGCCCGTTCTGACAAAAAAAATGATCAAAATTGTTAAATGGTTCAAACGCCCAGGCCAACAGTTTGTAGACCAAATCAACTTTTATGGCAAAAATCTGGTTTTGGGGAAAAACGGACCAGTTCCCAATTTTTCCGATCTGACCATCTGATCCAATCTGATTTGAAAACATGGTTGGTTTGATTTGGTTTCGAGAGAGAAGCCGGAACCTACCCTAGGTTTTTTGAATTAAAACCTACTTTTATTTATATATGTGATTACTAAGTGGAGGTTGGATTAAAATCTAATAAATTGGGTTTTTGCACACCCCCCCCCCTCCACCCAAAAAAAAACATCAACTAGAATGTAAAGAATTACTCTTTAACACTCCTCCAACTCTCAAGAAAAAAAAAAGTTATTTTTTCTTTAAAAAAATGTAATAAACCCAAACCTTCTCAGGCCATTTTTCCTCAAACCCTACTTCTTTTTCTCCCTATCTCATTTTATTGTTTAACAGTTTAATTTGGCCCCTATATAAAATCCTACCATAGAACCTGTTCTTTTGTTACCAAAAAAATGAAACCTTTTTCTTAAAAAAAAAAAAAAAAAGTTAAACATTCCATATATTGCATTATGATCGAATCGAATTAAATAACCTTATGGTCATATATGTTATTGAATTTAATATAGTAATGGTAAGTTTAAGCTGCAAATTGGTCCAACATGTTACATAAGGGAAGATAAACAAAACAAAATGCTAATGGGACCCACAAAAAATGAAAATCAGTTTTTTATTTTTTTTATTATTTTCAAGAAACTTCAAATATCCTATTCATTAAAGGGGGTGTTAATTCCTAATACGCATGATCTTGTTTTCTATGTGATTTTGCTGTGGCAGTTGTTTCTTTATCTTGTTTATTTTATTTTTGACTAGAGTAAAAAATATCTCAAACTTATGTTGTCGTCTTGTCGATAACAGGCAGAAGAGAATAGAAGAGAAACAAAAATAAGGGTTTCCGATCGACCCTTTTCACATTTTTAATGTTTTCGACTCCAAAACACGAATAGAACAGGCAGGATCCTCTTAAATAGTTTCAAAAACGTCATGACCAAATTTAGGACAGAAAAACAAACACACTACAACTCTCTAGCAAAATAGCAGCAGCTAGCGCTGGCTTACGTACGTACGTATCCCAGATGATGGATGGGGTTTCAGTTGGTAGAGGCCATGTGGAGGATCAAGTCAACTACACGGGAGCTATAACCCCATTCGTTATCATACCAGGAAACCAGCTTAACGAAGTTGTCGTTGAGCGCAATTCCAGCCTTGGCATCGAAAATGCTTGACCTGTTATCACCCAAGAAGTCGGTGGAAACCACATCATCTTCTGTGTAACCCAGGATTCCCTTCAGCTTCCCCTCCGACTCCTCCTTGATAGCGGCTTTGATCTCTTCATAGCTTGCCTTCTTCTCCAGTCTTACAGTGAGATCCACCACCGAGACATCCACAGTCGGGACACGGAATGCCATTCCGGTCAACTTTCCATTCAATGCCGGTAGTACCTTCCCGACGGCCTTAGCAGCTCCGGTGCTGCTGGGGATGATGTTGAAGGAAGCAGCTCTTCCACCCCTCCAGTCCTTGCTTGATGGCCCATCAACAGTCTTTTGCGTCGCGGTAATAGAGTGGACGGTCGTCATAAGACCCTCAACAATGCCAAATCTGTCATTGATGACCTTGGCCAGAGGTGCTAGGCAGTTGGTGGTGCAACTAGCATTGGAAACAATGGCGATGTCCGATTTGTATTCCTTCTCATTCACACCCACAACAAACATGGGAGCATCTTTACTTGGTGCAGAAATAACAACCTTCTTAGCACCACCCTTCAAATGCGCAGCGGCCTTGTCCTGGTCGGTAAACACTCCGGTCGACTCTACGACGTACTCGGCACCGGTGTCACCCCATGGAATCTCCTCGGGGTTCCTCACACCGAAAACGGTCACCGGCTTATCGCCAAATAGAAGAGTCTTAGAGTCCTTCACCTTAATGTCGTTGTGCTTCCACTGACCGTGAACACTGTCGTACTTGAACATATACGTCATGTAATCGGTGGTGATGAAGGGGTCGTTAACGGCGACCAGCTCAACATCATCTCTCTGAAGAGCGACTCTGGCAACCAAACGACCGATTCTTCCGAATCCATTGATTCCGATCTTGACCTTGCCCATGATTCTGAGAGGCGGAGTAAGGGAACTGAAGAAAAAAAATCAAAAAACCTTGCAGAATGGAGGTTGTAGAGGAAAGAAGCCAAGGAGCGGAGAATGAGAGAAATGAAAGGGGTCGGTAGGTTTATAAAGGGTGGGAGGAAAGAAATGGTCTGACTTGTGATAGATTGGATCCTTTTTTTTAGGGTTTGTTTAGGCGGGTCTGTGGAAATGTCCGAAACCGATGGTTTTGGCTTTGTTGACTTTGGAAGGGTGGATACGCACGATTAGGGGTTTGCAGCATCTTCTCCGCACAGAGCGCGCCTCAACCATCCTTACAATGCATCGCAGCCGTGTGTTGGGAACACCTTCCCATGAATGATAGCATTATGTATGAAAGATGTTCTCGACTGCAAACCCTGTAGAGTTGGTGTGAAGCGCCCTCAGCAGTGAGGAGCAAATCTGAACTCCTATTAGGAGTGTTGTTTTTGTGACCGGATCTGCTCCTTACAGCGGAAGTCTCACACCAACCTCACAGGCATATCTCAGCATGCATTGGGAACATCTCCCATGATATGCCTGTGAGGCCGGTGTGAGGAGCAGATCCCAGCTTGACAAACACAACTAAGCGTCCTAGCATTTTTATTTTATTGTTAAAATTACCAAAATCCCTTTTTTTTATTTTTTGAATACCATAAAAGATCACTTTTCAAGTTAACCACATGGTTAAAGAAAGGAAGCTGACATGGCCGAGTGATTCTATGCATCTTAGGTCATACTACTATGTTGTAAAAAATGTAATATGTATTTCATAAATGTGAAAAAATATATGTTTATATATATTTGTTACTATATTATATTATATTTTTAATATATTATTTATTATTTCTCACATATGATAGATAAATAATTATACCATGACGATAAATGAATGGCTTCTATACATGCGACTCTAAAAATAACAATGCATTGAGTTCCAAAAGTGAACCACAAATAAAATAGCAATTGTAATTATCACACAAAACTACAATCCACATATATATTGTAATGTTTTTTTTTTAAGAATTTATTAATAATTAAAGGAGGGGGCACGGGACCTTACCCTTGAAATAAAGCAATAAGGCACCGTTCGCATTTTGGTAAGTTACTTACCAAGGTAAATGYGTTATTACCTAGAAAATATTTATCCGGGTAAGTGCATATATTCATGTTATTTTATTTCTCGTGCAAATAAGGCAATGACCATTTTAGCCATAAAAATCCATTATTAAAAGGGGCATTTTTTCCTATTCAAGTGTTGGCAACTTTCCCCTAGGTGGGAAAGTTATTTACCCACCTAAGAGATGGGTATCACTTACCCAGGAAAATAAAATTTCCCTGATCCCCATATTAATCTGAAAAAAGAACATGGGATTCTTGGTCAATGGGACCAACTCTCCCCCTCTCAAAATCCAAAAAAAGAACGCCCCCTAAGAGTACCTTAAGAATAACGGCAGTGGTAGTCTTTTTATTCTAGAGAATATTTAAACATGTACAAATATATAAAGTGCAAAATCTTGTATTTTATATTATTTTGTATGTATTTACAAATAATATAAAACCACCCATTTTTATATTAATGGTTCAAAACCACCCGTTTTTTGAATCATGAAAAGACCACCCCTTACAATCCAGAGGTTTAGCATTTTTTTTTTGAAATACTTTAATAATCTAAATTTTTAAAATAGTAGAAATCATAAATCGTTGGCAAACATGCCCTACATTAGCAGTAATATCATTTTCTATCAAAACTTATGTCTTATTATAATATCAATAATAGTTTTAATAATTAACTAAGTTAGATCAACTACTCTCACCTATAAAACATTTTTTCTCCTTCAGTCTCTTTTTACTCAATGGATACTTAGGAGTATTGTTTAGGCATTTCTATATTTCTCCATATATTAGTGTGGTCGGATGCTACAATATGGTCCAACCAGGGTTGACAATTCAATTCTTAGAATCATTATTTTATTAATTATATGAGACGTATGCTTACATGGTTACATGACTACTGGAGTAAATGTCATTATGTCAGTAGGTTATTATCATATTATTTTAATTGCCGGAAATAATAAATTAATATATATTTGTTTATATAAAATTCAAATAAAAACATACTCTTTAGTCTGTACCGTGTGAGGGAATGTAAAAATCATAGATTCTGCCCTCTCACATATCAGGGATTTTGAATGACTAAGCTTCCAATAGAAAGCGCTTTCCCTAAAGTGGAGGAAAACGCCACTGAAAATGTACTTTTGAGAATCCACTGGGCCCTATTTTTTTCACCGAATAGCAGAATTCGAAAAACGAACCAAAAGCGGGGTTTCTTTTCCGACTCATGTTTCCATTTCCACCCCAATTAAAATACGGCCAGATAAAATAAATAATTAAATACTCTATTTTTTTTATTGATGATCAATCAAAGAGCGGAAAAGGCTAGAGCAATGACTTTCTTTTTCTTTTTAATTTTTCCCCTTTTTTCCTTCTCTTTTATTGGTGGTATTTCTCGAGGGATCTCAGATTCTTAGTTGGCCACATGTGGTCCAGCCAGGGTAGCCTGGAGTTGAGATTAGGCTGTGCCAGATGGCCCATCTCATCTGGACCATTCAACATGGTCGTACCAGACAGTCAAGGCCTGGTTTAGCCGTGCCATTTGTAGTATTTTAGTAGGTGTTTGGCATCCATGTTGAAAACGTTTTTACAACACCCTTTTGGTAGCATAGAGAAAGTGGTGCTTCAAACAACACTTTCTTGTTTGGTATTGTTTTTCAAACCATGTTTTGGAATTTGAAAAAAGTGTAGTATGGGGAAAAATCAAATTCAATGTTTTCTAAGAAAACGGTGCATTGCTGTGAGCAGTGCAATGATGTAGCATCTTGGACATTGGATAATATTGATCATATTGAAAATGTTGCTGCCAGCACTAGTATCAAACAAAACCAGTATTGTTTTCTCAGAAAACAGCTTATGTAGTAGCACCGGTTCCAAACAAATAATAAGCATTATTTTCTTAGAAAACAACTTACAATTCCACATGCCTAGCACTGYTTTTCTCAAAAAATGGTGCGATGTTCCAAGCACCAATGCCAAACACCTACTTAAGGCTATGTTTGATTTGAAGGAAAATGTAGGGAAAGATATCAAAACCTATAAAAGATTTGTAAATATTTTCTTACCTTTCCTTTCCCTATTTTTTCCTTCAAACCAAATATAGCCTAAATTTTGAAGCTGGGGCACCATACCTGCGGATGGGCTATCCCCTTTATGTAATGTATAGCCCCATGAAAGCCCAAATGGAATTTGGGTTACCCAGGCCCAACCCAAGTTGCATCCCTCACAATCACAAATATAATAATGAGGCATCCGAGTAAAAGTATTAATAGACCGGTTTTGGACCAAAATCAATTTGGACGATTTAGATGGACCAAAATTATATATTGAACTTGATCAGTTCAGACTTAATGGTCGATAGTATTAATTGGATTGGACCTGATCCATATAATGAATTTTTATTGGATTGAGACAATATTTAGTCTATTCATGGAAAATTAGAACATAGGTGTAATGGATAAGGTTTGCGTTAAAATCAATCTAAATTAAAACAAATTTGAACAAATAAAATTGAAACAATCTAAATTAAAACCAATTTAAACTAATAAAATTGAAACAAATATTCATGATTGAACCGGTCATTGAGTGGTCCAGATGAATCGGTCCAAAATATTTATTGGATTGGACCTGATCCATTTATAATAGGCTTACATTGGATTAGATCGGATTGGACCAATTTCGGTCCAATTGACAACCCCTAAGGAGTTCCGACTTCCGAGCTCGAAACCTGGTAAGAGTTGAGTCACAGTGAGAGAGGAGAACTGAGAAGAGAGGGCAAGTCAAAGTGTGTCTCATTCTAGATGATGCAACTACGAAGGGTTGGATACTTGCCAGCAAAACGTCAATTCATGGTGACTCACACACGGAGCCACCAGATTATCCAGATCGGTCCCGACCTCCTCATCACCAAGAATGCCACGTGGATGGGCCAGGTTCCTCAAAAGAAGCTCTCGAAGTGCACGCAAGTATTCTTATCACCTATGTTAGGTAAGGCCCAGCCCAATGGGCTTTGTGGGGGCGATGATAAGATGTTTGACGCGACCATTTTGGTTTCTGTGTATAATCAATCCATCACCCACTGGAATGGAAGAATAGTTGACTTAAAGGGTCACCCTGGGTCTCCTTATGAGATACGTAGACCGTTTTATCATCTGAGGAAGAACGAGTGCGTGTGGTGCGGATGAGCCATGCGATTTCAATTTTTCGAAGTTCTCTGGGCACACGGATTCTACACTGTAAAGAATATAGCAAGAGAGGGAAGGGCTGGACGGTGGACGGTGGAGCCCAGCCGCTCAGCAACGTGTGGACGGGCTGAATTTGACTGACAAGGTGCTGGGCCCACGGTCACGATGACGTGCCTGGGTGGCTTAAGCTGGACACGGGTCCGAGTTGAGCCGTGGTTCGTGGCTTGAAAGGGAAGGCTAGTGGGTAGCGTACGCGATTATAGCAAGTCAGAACTCAGCAGGTCTAACAAGTAACGCGACACGGCGGCTCCTGGAAAGGGAGGAGACCGGATCGGGCCGGTTGCATACATTTGGAGGAGGAAAATCAGAAATCAGAACAGCCGAACAGGACGACCGGGCCGTTCAGACCAAAAAAGAAAAGGCAGACGAGTCATACTCATCATCCTCTCCCCCTAAAACTCCGAGCTTTAACTCCTCCCTCCGACCCTCCGATAGCGACTGATTAGACGGGATTCCTTTTCTTTCCTTCTTCTCTTCCCTCGTTGTCATCTCCATCTCCTAGCTCCTTGTTCATTTACCAAATTACCCTTTCTGACTTTTCTTTCGTTTTTTAGTTGTACTGGTTTTCATCTCTCTTCTTTTTTCTGTTTCCTTTTCCGTTTCCGTTATATTGAGAGATATTTTCATTTGTGCAGGGCCAGTTTAGTAAATATACTGTCTTCCCGTCCACTCTCCCAAACAGAGATACCATTTGGCTGAGCTTATTATATAAGCCCCATCCAGAGTCTCCTCACCGAGAAAAGCCTCTCTCATCGCTCTCCCCTCTCTCTCTCTCTCTCTCTGACAAACGTTCCCCGTCAAAACCGACGGAGGCTTTCGGGTCGCCTCCGAAGTCTGAACAACGCCGATAAATTTCAAAGATATATAGTTTTCTTCTGAGTGATGGGTGTGAGCTGCCGCTGCTCCCATACTTTTCACATAACCGTGATCATCATCACGAGCTTCTTCCGTCATAAGCTATAGATCAAGTGTGGAAATCATGACCGTCGGATCCTCACAAGAGATCATGTCCCTCTGAATTGTCCGGGAATTCGAGAGTACAGCAAGGCCGGAAGCGATGGCGGCGGGTGGGAGGGTGTATAACGACTCCAATATGACCGTTATACTTCAAAACGAAGGGATTCCTTGTTCTTCAGAAGCTCTTGAGACTCTGCTCATGTCCAGTTCTTCTCCTACTTTCCATGGTAATCAACTTATTTCTATTTTCTTTCTTCCTTTTCCAATTTTGGTGTTGGGTTTTACATGCTGTTCTTTGCTTCTGAAAAGAAAAAAAAAAAAAGAAAAGAAAAAGAGATCTTTTTAGCGAGCCGCTCCTGAGTAGCAGTTTTCGTACATGGGTTATGTTTAGTAATAGTAGACTGTACTTGAACCACCTATTTGCTTGAAGATTCCCATATCTATGTTTGGTTTATGTCTCTGATTACTTGGTTTTCTTGGTTTCTTTTTCCTGTATGATACAGTTATTGAATTTTCCTTTTTTACTAGGAATCTGTTAATTTTACTCTGTAGATGTTTTTTATTTTTTTTTACTTTTCAGTATGTCTTTATTTGAAGATCAGTTTCTCAAGTTTACACTTAAGGGTGGAAAGGATCAAATCACTGGGTGTTTATAGAAAATGTTGAATCTACTATAGAATTGCCTTTGCTTGTGCTGGGTAATAATACTTTTGAGGTGCTTCTGTTAGCTCTGTTCCAGTGTATTCCACAATGAATCTGTTTGTCTCTATTTCTAGCAAAATTTATGGCCAAGTTGTTCAATCTAGTTTGATGTATAATTTGAAATCGAACTTGGTGGTGCACCAAAATGCTGGTGTTAGTTTTTGTGGGTGTTTATTGATTATATTTCATTAAAGGTGTATTGGTGGATCAACCATTTTATTGGTTCAGGTTCGAGTTCCATGGTTAGCTTTGAAGACGTTCGAAGAGGAAAGACACCAGATAGATCTTTCTTCCGACCACTTGAGCAACAAGATAATGGCGACGAGGACTTGGATGAGTGTTTTCATCAACCTGGGAAGAAGAGGCGGCTTACAACCGATCAAGTCCAATTTCTTGAGAAAAGTTTTGAGATGGAGAATAAGCTTGAACCAGAAAGGAAAGTTCAGCTCGCAAGGGACCTTGGCTTGCAGCCTCGGCAGGTTGCAATATGGTTTCAGAACCGGCGGGCACGGTGGAAGACAAAGCAACTGGAGAAGGACTATGAAGCTCTGAGAGCTAAGTACAACAACCTCAAGGCTGATTATGATAACCTCGTAAAAGAGAAGGAAAAACTGAAAACCGAGGTAAATTCTCTTTACACTTGACAATTGTTTTGGGAATATTGACAAGTTTTGAAGAATCCATCATTACTGTTTATGCTCTCTTCAACAGGTTCTTTCCCTCACAGAGAGGCTGCTCTTGAAAGAGAAAGAGAAGGGAAATTCAGGAACATCTGATGTGAACAAACCATCTGATTTACAGCCACAGAAACCCATTCCCGATTCAACTTCTGAAGAGAGGGAATCCGAGGTGCCAATTGTACATGTGGTCTGTAAACAGGAAGATATAAGTTCCGCCAACAGTGATATCTTGGATTCTGAAAGCCCACATTATACAGACGCTGGCCACTCTTCCCTTTTGGAGCCTGCTGATTCTTCCCACATCTTTGAACCGGACAACTCAGACCTCTCACAAGATGAAGAAGATAACTTGAGTAGGAGCTTGTTTCCATCTGTGTATTACTTCCCAAAGCTGGAAGATGCTGTTTACTCCGACCTACCTGCACATTCTTGTAATTATGGATTCCCAAGTGAGGATCAGGCCCTCTGGTTCTGGTCTGAATTATAATCAGTATATATGCATGTATTTGCCTCTCCCATTTGGTTTAAAGTATGATATTTGCAATAAAACAATTAATGGCACCCCAAACCAGATATGGTGGTGGGTTTTGTTCACTGTTGGAAATGGTTGCTTTTGCCTCTTTTGTAATTTTACTTTTGTTTTGGCTCCTTTGTGAGCTCATCAATGAACTTGTTATTTGAATGTAATTCTCTCTCTCTCTCTCTCTCTCTCTCTTGTTGCCAATGCCTGTATAGAAACTTGTGTATCTGATGCCTGTTAAAATAACATCAGGAATCGAGTTTAATATCCTTACTTCTTCAGAAGCAGAATTCAAGCATTAAAGAAGAGAGTGTTTTAACTCTGATGATTATTTCAAACTGAACTCTGAACCAGAAGGGATTAATCAAGGTCAAACTAATGGAATGTTCAATTACAAAATGTTTCCCAACATACAAGTACTTCTTCCTTTTGTTGGTTTTATGTACTACAAGAGGATGTCCACAGTCGCTTGATCATGGAATTTGGAAGAATTTATCTGCATGATCCATCTATATCCACATCATTTAAGAAAATGGGTGATTTTCTTTGGTTTCTAGCTTCTTACTTTGCTAAATTGACTTTTATTTAAGGCAAAATTTATGATTCGTCCGTTACGCCGTGCAGCTACAGATGTGATGGTAAGTATAGCTAGTTGAAATTTGAATTTAACGTAGCTAATATTAATGAATGCGTGGTAGTTGAAACTCTTTATTTAATGGCCCCATGTTGCTCTAAGTCAATTTTTATTTGATACCAAGCATTCTTAATATATATATATATATATATATATATATTAATGAATCTAACCAATCCCAAACGGAGAAAAGCAAATTGGGAAGTGCTCTCGCTTCAACACTCAAGAATAACTTTGCAATGAGGTATCTAAATTTTATTCAGGTAACTTGTAAGCCTATAATCAACAAATTAAGTGTACTAATCAGGAATTTCATTGAACTATTAACACAAATCAAACTGTTTCATTAATTCATTAACTATACTGAGTAACTATACGCTTTTTACAACAATTTCAGGTTGTCCAACAAACGTTCAGGGGGTCAATTCTCTCATCTGTATGGATATCGATGCAATAGATGATGGTGATATTGATACATATATACAAGCAAGGGGACTATGTCTATCGCATTGAACTCGAAAACTAGCCTGAGACAAACCCACGAGACAAAAGCTCATTATACCATTTCAATACAACTGTCACTGTAACTGTCAATAACGACTATCTCAGTGCATTTTACTTGGGAGACTTAATGGTCAAGAACGACAAGTGTACGGTGACCCTTATCCTTCATCGAACAGGAAAAAGTAGTAGCATTTGCTCACATGTTAGTGCCGACCATGCGAATCCTGGCCTGATAAATGTCATTCCCTATCACGTAGTGGGGGTGAAGGCCACGTGTCGTGGGGCCGCAGATGAGGACTGGTTCGGTCCTATGTGTCGATTTCTGATTTGGTAGTCTTCTTGTGGGAGTGGAACATGCCAAGCAATGAGACAACGACCACCATGAAACGTCGATGAGGTGAGGGCCCACACGAGATCCAGAGAAAGCACAGAAGCAGCGCGACGTGGCCACTAACGAGAGGTGGTCTGGTCTTTTGGGAGATTATATCTGCTCCTCAGTCCTCACAAAGGGGTGCCTGACACCGACCTCACATGTACATCTCACCCATACTTATGTGTTATCATTTACGGAAGATGTTCTCAATATACGGTGTTATGTGCCTGTGAAATCGTTGTGAAGCGCTTGTGTGAGGAGTAAATCTTAGTTCGTCTTCTGGGCATCTTCTCTACATGTTTTGCGTCTTTTGCTTGTCGACGCCGTAAAGGAAAAGAAAGGAAAGAAGAGGGGTTATGGTCCCCACGGTTTCGGGGGAGCATCTTTTTTTGCTTTGTTATTGTCTTGCTATGAGAAGATACAGATAAGAAGTAAGGTAAGGTGAGGGTGTGGACTTGTAGTGTAGGATGGTGGAGGAGTACTCAACTCATGTGGGGACCACCTAGGGGAGCCTTTTTGGGAGGTAGTAGAGACGTATGGTGGGCCTGGGCCAAGCAGCTGGAGCCTTGTTGTCAAATGAGATGTCCATGTCTCCCTCCTTGCCCCCCTCGTGATGTCACACGTGTACGGTCTTAATCGTGGGCCCTCAACCCACGTGCCACCACGTCTCCATGTCAGAGGATTCAACGACCGGCGATTAAGAATTCATATTAAATTTGATAATTTATTTTATTTAATTTTCTATCGAATCAGACGCGACACCGTACACGCAACCACCAAACGCACTCCTCACTCCTGACTCCCCCGTTGATCTATGGGCCGTCGATCCTTGGGTTGGGCCGTAACCAGGATCATGTCATCGTTCATCCGCCGCTTACTAATTAACTTCTGCACGTATCTCCGACTCTCCGTTGTCATCTTTTCTAACTTTCTCCCGTTTTTTGTTTTCGAGGAAAAAGCTTTTAAAAGCCAGCCAGACAGTGAGACAACCTCATCAGTCATCATACGGTTTGGGGATAAGGATGGATTATTGGATTCCCGTTAACTGTACCGTTGATTCACCACTAAGTCTCCCAAGGGACAAGGCAACGCAGTGGTCCCACGTAGGTTCTCCATTGTCGGATTGGAATCCATACCTGATAGGCTGATACCCCCCCCACCTTGTAGTTTTTAGATAAGGATCCAATACGGCAGTTTAGGGCCCAGGGATATTTTGGACTCTGGGCCTAACCGCTGGCACCCTTGCAAAGGACCAAAGACTTCATTCATTACTACGAGTTCAGTCAATGTGGTGCTTTTCATGAACTCGACTGAACTCGTATGGATAGTATGAAAAGGAAAGGAAGAACTAACAGCTCTGAAAACAAGCAAATAAATCGTCTTCTACAATGATCTCACAATTCCCTTTGGGTCTGTTATATGAATCTTTGTTTCGCCATTTCATTTTATTCTGTTATGTATGTTAAAATAATGAATATTTAATTCACTTTTTTTATTACTATTTATACCTAAGTCCTTTTGGGTCTGTTCTTAACTCTTCTATTCTAGTCACGTCCACTTGTGATTGATCACTCTTCATTATGGCTTCCAATTCTCATGCAACCCAAATAGGGCAATGTCGAGACCACTATGGAGGAGAAAAATGGAATTTCAAAGCAAAGACATTTTTGAGCTTGTTTTCCATTTTTGGACGGGTCTGGCTTGGGAACAAATGGTAGTGTTGGCTCTCAATTCATAAACAAGGAGGCAAAAATGGCGGGACAGATTGGTCATACACAATAGAATGAATTCACCCTAGGGCCACTAGTTTGTATCATTGACTTCCACAGATCTGAATTCGGGTCTCCCTTAACAAAGAGATGCCAGCTGATAATTGAGGCAAGAGGTCATTAAGGCCTTTATTGTTCTATTCTATAACATGTGAAGACTATTGGGTTGTTCATGATACCAAATCTTAGGGGACCCAAATCACTGACCCGATTTYGGAGTAAAAGTTTTACACGGATTGAGACCCGGGCACCCGGCTCAACCCGAATCGACTTTTGTTCGGTCTTTATTTATTTATTTAACCTTAAAAAGGTAATGGCCTATTAGTTGGCATCTAATAGCAAAAAATAGGATACATATATTGTATAAAAAAAAAAGAGAGAAAAGGTTTACATATTCAAACCCCACCTCCAAAATTTAGTAGTTGAAGAAAGCTACACTAGTTTTATATGTCGGGTGGTCTTTGTTTATGGCCTACAAGGGTGACTTTATTTACATATAAAAAGGAAGTCAGTTGATTGGTTAAAAAAATAGTCACTCGGGTCGTGGGTTCCTCTTCTTTTTATTAACATTTTAAATTTCTTATAAGAATGATCCAAGAAATTAAGAACCATACAACTTGGTAAGATATTACGATATTAGAACGATATTAAAAAATTCAGAAACCACAAATAGTGAATGAGAAGCATAGATTCATAGAATTCTTAACCTCACATGGCTACCAAGTATTTGGACCTGAGAGAGAGAGGAAATATATTACCCTCTTATTGAGAAGTAAATCCTAATTTGTTTTTAATGGTGCACGACATGGATGCTCCTAGCTGGAGAATACTGTCGATATTACTTGCTTAGTAGGACGATCAATTTGTAAGATGAACAAATCAGAAAAATCGGGGTGACTAACCCGACAAGGTCACTCTAATGCTTAAGTCAGTATTCGGATGTACGAGTAGGAGATTGAGTGCTAAAGAGCTAGAGAGCAAATAGACTTGCATACCTTGATTTCAGGTGGTTGAGACCCATATATAGGTGGGTGACTGTGCGTCCTGCGAAACGCTCCCAGGATCTTTGTTCTAAGCCATTAGGATTCGTTTCCAGAAGGTAGGGATTCTGCTAACTGACAAGAGTTACTACTAACAGAGGTGGCTGAAGTGTCCGAGGTGAAGCAACCTGCCGAGGTGGTCGGGGTGTAGACCCGACCTGTCGAATCCACATGTCCTCTACTCACTAGGTCGGGCCGAATCACCCCTCATCAGTTTTCTTAGAGGTAACATATTATTAGGTTCTTTATTTGTTTTAGCATTGTTTTCTTATGGCCTAGTTTGCCTGTAGTAGTGCAATTTTATTTGCATCAGAACAAAAGAAAGGGAGTGCAAATTCTGACTTATTATTCTTTTAACTTTCAGCTTATCTTGTTCCCTTGCAGCACAAATGAAGTAAAATAAAACCTAAAACAAAACAAAGTGAAAATTGAAGCAAAAATGGATCAAAATTTGTGTTTTTCTTATTTGCACTCTCATTCGTTTGTATTGGTGCAGATTAAATTGCACTATAAACAAATAAAGCAGATAGAAAACAAATTAGTAAATCGACCATGCTGCCATGGTGGATTATGTTAAATTTCAAAAACAGATAGAAAACAAAAATAGCTGGAAATATACAAGTGAAAACTACTTAAGAAAATAACACAAAAAACATTTATTTCTGTGATAACTTTACCTAATATTACAATTCTTATTCTGCTAAACTAGAATAACAAAGTTTCTTTTCATGTAAGTTGTATTTAAAATAAAAAAAAAAGGAAAATCCATTTTATATTATAGTTATTGATTAATTCGAGATGCAAAACTTGGGTTTTATGGGCCAATATGGATTCAATCACTATGAGAAACTCTCCTTTGACAGTGCATCACACAGCATTTCAGTAGAGGAAGAAGACCTGTCTATTCAATATTTTGTCTGTAAAACGAAAGATTCTGTTGAAAATTGGCAGACATAATACTTATTATTTAATTGTAGTCACTAACATGAATAATAATTATATTTATGGACTTAACAACTACTGCTCACTTGTTTAGTGACAAAATTTTATTGTTTTAACATATTAATATAACAAAGTTTTCTTGGATAGAACTCTAGAATCTTGATGTTTATGGTTTGGTATCATGTATTTTAGATCAAGACAATACAGCTTTTTCATAACAAATATATTATGAGATACGAAGACAAACTTTGGAGTTTAGTGGGCCAAAAGAAAATTTATTAACAGAAATCAAGACAAAAGCCTGAGAATTTTGTGGGCCAAAATTATTTTGACAACGCATGCTATAGGACAGTACTTTCCCATTTTGGGCCCCTCTTCAACCAACTCTATGTAAGCCTGGCCCCAATCTTTGGAATTATCAAAGAGACGACTCTCCCAAGCCTGGCCCATGCTTCGTTTGAGATCAGGGGAACCTAGGGTACTTAGTAGTACCTGTACTTCTCCATTCAATGACTTGCTTGGTTCGAGTTCATGGTTCCTTGTTCATCAGTATTAGAGAAGTTAGACCCGGAAAGAGTATGCTTAGGGTGTCAATGGACCGATTTTGGATTGGACCCCGTCCAGTCCAAAATCAATTTGTACGGATTGGATGGACCAATAAAACATTTTGGATTGGATTAATCTGGTCCAAAATATTTATTAGATTAGATTGGAGATGGTCCATTCGTAATAAAATTATATTAGATTGGGTTGGATTAAGCCAAAATCTGATTCATTGATATAAGATAAGAATATAGGTGTCAATGGACCGGATTTATGTTGAAACCAGTCTAAATCAAAACGAATTTGAATAGATTAGACGGTCCAAACATTGAATTAGATTGGTCCAAATTGGTCTAAAACATTCATTTTATTGGATTGGACCTCGTCCATTTATAATGGACTCACAGTGGACTGGATTGCATTGGACCAAATCCAGTCCAATTGACACCCCAAATTATTTGGTTCCAACTTTTGGTTCTCTATAGCCATCAAAATGTGGTGGACTAATTTTTTTTACTTGTTCTTCACACTGCCTTTCATCAAAGTAATAATGTATTAAGCAAAGTAACTAATTTTCTCTATTAATTACCCTTAAATAAAAATTAAATGGAGGGGAAAAAATTTATAAGTACAATTAAAAATGCAGATAGAGGGTGTATAATTAGGAGTGCAACTTGGGCGGGCCGAAATTGAGTAGCCGCATCATCAAGCTTATCGCAAGTATATGGGATTAACCACATGAATCCTATTTTACCATTCTGTTCTGCAAACACAAAAAGACAAATCAAGATTCAGATCATGAGAATACCAAAACTCTAAAAGTTTCAGTGTCGGCCATCAATGACACAACCCTCCTTTATCTGGGCTTGAGATTAACAGTGCAAGACAATCTCACATGGGTGGAATTAAGACAGATCTAAGTTGAACATTTCTTAAAAGTTGAAAGGGCACCCAATACAGTATAGATTCTTTAAATTGGGTACTCAATTTGCTCTCCAACCCCTCTCTCTCTCTCTCTCTCTACCTAATATGTTCCACCATCTAATCTTATATTAATTAAACGAAGACATCTTCCTACCTTTATGGGCTTATTTTGTCTATGACAACAAGAAAAAAAAAAAGATCATTTATATAATATAATATAAAAGTATTTATATGATAAAATCAATTGGGGCTACCGACGTCTATCCTCCTACACTACTCTCTTTCCCACGTTCCTCTTTCCTCTGCCCAACTGTCTCATGTGCAGTACCAAAAATGTTGTTTAAGTTAACTGATTGATAGAAGGAACATAGCGGCAATATGTGGGTTGCACCTATCTATTGGTCCATATGTTTATTTATTCCTGTGCTAGTCAATTTTCACGGAATCCATTTCTAGTTTAAACAACATATTGGTCATTTTTAATTTTAATTTATTTAAATATGTTTAATATAAATTTGGAATCGGATCCGAGTTACAACCAAATCTCAGCTGAAAATAATTTATTCAAACCCGAATATCATGTCATTCGGGTTTCGAGTACAAACCCAATTTGTAACAGTTGATCCATGAATATACATTTGGAAGAATGGCACTGGAGTAGGTCTGCATTTCAGTATTTGTGAGGCCCATCAGACCCATTATTCTCTTCAGATCATACTTATGATGGGCTCAGTTAAACCATCAAAATCTGAAATTCGCCTTCATGTAACTCACCATCTCTTGCTGCAAATATTAAGAACAAATAAGAATCCATTGCATCAATGAACAAAGATGGGGCCGAACTCCTACTGTATACAAGTATATGAAAAGAAACAAGTGATAATAGGAAACGAGAACACTTACTATGAGACAGAGGAGCATGCACCCAATAGCTCCAGGGAACAACGCGTACCAAATATGTAATTGGTGCAACTTGGCTCCATCGATGAACAATATTGGCAAACTTGCAGCTAACATATCAAAGAGTTGAGTTACTAACACTGAAGATGGAAATATTGGCTATATTTCTATCTCCTTTTACAGAATTGCTTAGTTAAAGAATTGGGCATTGGTAGTACCAGGTGGATGAGTGGAACGTGTATAGATCATGAAAGCTAAGGATGCTGCAAGGGCTGCACTCCTAGCAAGCCAACCTGGGCCAAGAATTGTGAATGATACAACGCCAATGGCTGCACAACCAATTTGAGCCATGAACATGTTGTACTTCTGCATGCAGAGTCCAGCAGAATTGAAGGACGTTACGTTAGCAATCTTACTCAAGCTTTCACCTGATGAAAAACCACGGACAACCATAGTACGCATAATTTAAGATCCACAGCCCATGGTCCTTGCAAGCCCAAATTGAATTAGGACGGGCTTGGCCCACTCCTTATGGGCCTTGGACCTTGGATAGGAATTATATCTAATCCTCAGATTGAATCTTTCAAAAAAAAAAAAAAAAAATCACGGGATTGAATAGAATTTTGTTAGGTTTGGATTGATAAATTTGGATTTTAACATCAGTTTTAGTTCCATGCCAAGGTGTAAGCTTGGTATTGGGTTGACCTAATCTAATCTAATTTATAAGCTATATGCTTACTTTATTCGAAGGGGTCAAAAAGAATTTAAAGAGATTAAAGAGGAAACAAGGGATTTAGGTCCCATTTGGGAGTGGTTTTTTCTCTATAAATGAGACAAGCACTTTTTTGAATAAATGCTTATTTAGATGAACACATTTGAGCAGTTTTGTGTGACATTCTAAATGGGCCTTTTCTTTTTAAAAGGCCTTCTCCCGAAATGTAATAAGTAATAAGCCCAAAAAATTCGGCTTTTTTTAGATGGGCTTTTTCGGGTGCTTTGGAAATTTAATAAGCAATAAGCCCAGTAAGTGCTTAATAGAAATACTCTCAAACAAGATATTAATGGGAGAGAGAGGAGATTTTACAAATATGGGCTACTGGTGAGGTAGGGAGATAGGGATTTAAGAATGAGTATTTTTTTCGAGATAGTAATAATAGATTTTATTAAAGAAAATTAGGAGTCGTTTTATTGTGAATTCTTATAATTTTAATAATTTAATTAAAAAAATAAATAACCACATGTCTGAGAAATGAGGGAAGGAGATCTGTCTGACCATTGAGGCGAGAGCATTCTTGCCCTCCCTCTTTCCTCTATAAATTAAAGATAAAGATTTAGGGGTGCAACTTGGTCTGGCTAAGTTGGGTTTTAACATCAACCCAGGACCAAACCCTAAAAATTAGACCCAACTTGACTACTTGAGTAAATCAATTGAGCTGGGCTCTGGTTGGCTCAGTGGACTTATTAGACCCAATATATTAAGAAGTTGCATGAACCAATTTAGTATCAATAATTTAAACCTTTAAATAACAATATTTTATATTTTGCATATATGAATTGCATTTATGTATGTATGTAAGATTGGGCCGGGCTCAAGCTACCAAGACAGGTCGAGGCCCAGCCTAAGAAATAGGAAACCCTGGAGTTTTAGGCCTAGGCCTAGCCCAAGGATAAAATATCTAAGCCCAGCCCATACAAAAAGGCGGGCTGGTCGACCTGGTCTCGTATTGGGGTTGCCCAAGTTTTGCAGCCCTGCAGTTACTCACCGTTTAATTGCGCAAAACAAGTGGTATAACCATATGATTTGATCGATTTTGTTTTCTTGTCTTTCGCGGATTATCCAAGTAAACGCTCCCTTCGAATACAAACAATAGAAGAGTTGTGTGTGTGTGAGAGAGAGAGAGTACCCGAGCAGCAGGAGCAGAGGGAGAGGCGAACAAGACAGCGCAAACAGCACCAAAGGGAGCAATTGTCATGGAGATACCTCTGGGTGCCAGTAATTGGTCTATCTTGCCCAGTAATGCCATCGCTGCGAATGCCCCTGTATTCAATTTCAGTGTACGCTTCTTGTTAGTAATCCTTTGATTTTTCCAAATGATGAAAAAGGAGGAGAAATAGGTATAGGTAAGCTCGCCTGCAGAAGGCCAGAAGACATCGCTGAGAGAGGGGGAGGGCGCTCCTTTATCAGGCGTCCATCCATCCCACCACACCGCTGCTGCGTCACTAGAACTGGATGCGACTATCAACCCCGATCCCCTTTTCTTTCTCGCCAAAGCAATTGCCGCTGATGCTACTTTACCCTTGTGTTTGCCCGAGGCCGAGGGGAATATGATAGAGGGCGGGGAGCAGAATTGAAACGAAGAGAATGGTACTGGTAACTGTGGTGATGATGATGATACCATTACCATGAGACGATTGTGATCACGGTAACTCCACCCACATCGTAATTGCATCCCCATCTCTCACTGAGTACTCTTCTTTTTCCCTGGTGCAGGAGGCCCAGAGAGATGTGATTTTGGTGGGTGTGGACCTTGTGGCATTCATTGGTAGAAGCGACCGACCGGCGAGGGAGGACAGAATTTTATGAGCTGTGTCGTGTTTGGCCTTTTGGCAACCTCCAAAGGTCAAATAGCCGTCGTCTCACTCTGTATATGTAAAAGAGCAAAATTGCCCAATTTTGGATTGATTTGAGACCTCACATAGCAAAACATGCAGGGTGAACCAAAACGAGGCAGAGGTTCCCTCGCTTGTTCCTATCAATTAAACATTCTACCCTACAAGAGGACTTCTCTACCAGACTACCACCACTCACATGGCACATGCCATCGAATTGGGATAGGCTCCTCAGATCGCGCCTCACACCGACCTCAGTAACATCCCATTGGGAACATCTCTCCCCATGAATAATAATATTATTACATGTACAGGAGATGATACTGATGTGCGATCAGGATATACTCTGAGATTGGTGTGAGACGCACTTTGTGAGGAGCATATCTGGACTCCATGCCATCATGTGTGGATTTGCATCTCTGGTATAACTATCGATCCAAACAGCCATACATTGGGCATCTCGCCATGAAAAAGACAAAGCAGATGTTTCAGATGTGAGATTGGATTTATTCCTCACATGGTGCGCTTCATACCATCTTACAGTGCATTACAACTGTGCATTGGGAATATCACAGATCTGAATTTGACGGTTATAAGGGCGGTTGGGACCATGTTACAACCTTGACGATGGAACAAGAAGGAACTTTAGTACCATGGTTTTGAAAATCAAATCAAATCGGATGGTTGGACCAGTTGACCCAGAAGCCAGTCAGGTAACCGGTTCCATTTCACTCTAAAACTGATTTTTGGCCAAAAACTATTTATTTGGTCAGTAACCCACTAAACCAGGCAGTCGAACCGTAGACTCATCTACCCGAACAACAGTTTTTGATCATTTTTTATTTTTTTAAGTCAGAACGGGCTGTTCATTCAACCCAGGAACTGGTCCCAGAATGGTTCCGTCTCCAGTCCAATTTTTAAAACCTTGCTTAGTACAATCAAAACAAGAGAACCCTCTCTACATTGTTATCTATTTTGTATGTACTGTACATATTTGTATTTGTATTCTTTCCAAACTGAGCCTAAAAGTTCAAAATGGAACATAAGAAAGAATTTCCAATTCAAATGACTAAAATCCATCTCATCATACTATATTTGGTGCAGCAATTGCTTTAATTGGGAACCAGCCATACAACAACAGCAGGTCTGATTCTTGAAACATAGCACAGCAATTGTTCTAGTACTCTGGTTATTACTTATTACTATTACAACACATCTCTATACAGTGATAAACTAGTAAACGATTACCATAAAATAGACTAGTAAACAAATCCCTTATTTATACCACTCGGGATCTGCTATCCACACAGCACCACCACCGTGTACTGGGAACATCTCCCCATGAATGACAAGGGAGATATTCCCAATGCGCAGCTGTAATGTCTTGTGGGTAGAAATGTGGGCACAGCTTCTGGGTAGCAGATCTGAGTCCTAATTATATTTCTCCTTTTCTTTTCAGAGGAAAATGCCTTCTATCCAATTAACGACATTTCAATGGTTAAATAACTGACAGACTAAAAGTTCCAAAACTAATAAGGGCCATTGAAATGCCAAAGGTTGTCACCCAAGTTGCATCTTGCATGTGAACTAATATGAAATGGTAGTTAGCAGAGAATTCATGGCCTACATATCACCATCAACTTTCATCTAATAAGGTTTGACCCGTTGAAGTTCAATTTGAGTCCCATGTCACAACAAGGTTGTTTCTAGTCACATGGTCTATTTACTTTTTATTGATTTATGTTTCACAAAGTGTACTTAATAAAGACTTTAACAATATTAAAGATTCAATTGTGATGTATTGCTTTTATCACTGGTTCAAGTTTCTTTTTTTTCACAGTGCAGTTCATCCACCATAGATTTTGCCTTATATTAGAGATTGAAATTCAGATGACCAAACATGATAAACCTGACGACTAATCTTTGGGATGGATATTCAGATGGTCTTGGAACTACAATTTCTCTTTATATGTAATATATCCATCAACTACAACTTGAACAAATTCAATTTTTCTGCACACAATACTTGCATGTAGAACTTATTCCAAAACACCCTACTATAAATGTGTTATGGGCATGCCAGCCGGAAGCACACTGCGGCGCAGTCATAAGGCAATAGCATGCACAGCAGGCCGCCCAGCCGCACGCACCGCCTGGCAGCGTGCAACACGCACCTGTTATGGGCCACCGCCCGGCAGCAGCACGTAGTCATAGGCAGCAGCACGCACA